CCCTGGGAGGAGGCAGTCTACAGGGCCCCCAGTCTTATCTCCAGGGATTTAGAGGGAATAACCTACAGAGAGTGATGTGTTCTTGTGCTATTTCTCAAAAGATACTTGTCACTTTGCAAGCTTTTATGTGTATGCCTCTGAGTTTGGGTTTGTGTACCTGGGTGTAGTGCCCCTGGAGGCCAGAAGAGGGCATCTAATCTCCTGGAGCCAAAGGGACCTAATTCAGTTCCCTGGAAGGACAACAAGTGCTCTTAATCATGGAGTAGTCTGTCCAGCTCTTTAAAAAACAAACAAAAACTCCTATGGTGAACAGAGAGACAGAGACAGAGGATTTATTAGAATGACTTACAGGCTGTGGTCTGGCTAGTCCAATAATGATTGTCCCCAATGGAAAGTCCAAGAATCCAATAGTTGTTCAGTTCCCAAAGATGGATGTCTCAGAGTTTTCAGTATATGTTGGAATCCTAAAGAAAAAGACTCTACTATAAGGAAGGAACGACTTAGGATCAGAATAGATGAACTTGCCCAAGGGAGCAAGGCCAAGCAGGCAAAGAGCAAAAACATCCTTCTTCCATGCCCTTCTATATGAGTTACTCAGAGGTGTGACCCAGATTTAGGTTGGGTCCTCCTATCTCAAATGACCCAATAAAGAGAAATCCCTCACAAGTAAACCCAGATGCCTGGGTTTCGTTAATCCCAGGTGTGGTCAGGTTGACAGACACCACACCCGCATTCCTTTTTATTGCTGGGTACGTTGGGGCCCTGATTCAGTGTTTCCTCTCACTGCTCTCATTTAACTTCTAACCCGAAGGGAAACTTGTCCAAAATCCCCCCAGGATCACCTCCAGCTCAGGGATCCATGTCCCACTCACTCCCAACCCCAGGCTAAAGCACTGCTGGCCACGGGCTAGGGACTGGGGTGCTGCCCCTGTGCTCAGGAAGCACTGAGCCAGAAGGAGCGCCTCTCAAAACTGCGCCCCAAGCTGATGTGTATACTAGTAGGTGCTTCTTCTCTGTCTGCTAAGATCTCCAAACTGTCCTAGGCGAAGAGGCTGATTCCCTCAGGGAAGGGTCTCAAGCCACAAACACAGCCAGGAGGCCCCTGGACCAGATGCAACACAGCCAGGAGGCCCCTGGACCAGATGCAACACAGCCAGGAGGCCCCTGGACCAGATGCAACACAGCCAGGAGGCCCCTGGACCAGATGCAACACAGCCAGGAGGCCCCTGGACCAGATGCAACACAGCCAGGAGGCCCCTGGACCAGATGCAACACAGCCAGGAGGCCCCTGGACCAGATGCAACACAGCCAGGAGGCCCCTGGACCAGATGCAACACAGCCAGGAGGCCCCTGGACCAGATGCAACACAGCCAGGAGGCCCCTGGACCAGATGCAAAGCAGAGGACTCCACCCCTCCCTTCCTGCCACCTCACAGTCAGCTTTTCGTAGGGATTAAGGAGCTGGGTGGAGAAAAGGTGGGGTGGGAAGATTTACCTGCCCCCTGAACCTCAGTGCCTGCGCCTCATACAGACCAGAGCTTGTTTAAAATAAATACCAAGTGCAGCGTCTTTGAGGTGTGACAGGGTGTAGTACTAAATGTTTTTTACTCTTTACTCTTTTTTAAGGGGGTTGAGGGGGCCCACCACCCTGCTCCCAAATGAATCACACACAGTATTATTACTTATGAATACCCGGCCTTAGCTTGGCTTGTTTCTAGCCAGCTTTTCTTAAATTAACCCATCTACCTCTTGCCTCTGGGCTTTTCCTGTTCTCCTCTGTAAATCTTTCTCTCCGTGGATTGCTGGGTGGCTGGGTGGCTGGGTGGCTGGGTGGCTGGGTGGCTGGGTGGCTGGGTGGCTGGGTGGCTGGGTGGCTGGGTGGCCCCTGATGTCCTCCTCTCTTTGTTCTCTTTCTGTTCCTCTCTTTCCTTCTGTTCTCCTTCTATTTATCCCCTCTGCTTGCCAGCCCTGTCTATCCTTGCTCCTGCCACGCTATTGGCTGTTCAGCTCTTTATTAGGCCATCAGGTGTTTCAGACAGGCAAAGAATCACAGCTTCACGTAGTTAAACAAATGCAACATAAACAAAAGTCACACACCTTAAAACAATATTCTGCCACAGCAGGGCTCTTCCCTGCCTTGCTGATCTTAGCCACCTCATGAAGGCAGCCAGCCTGGAATGAAGGGGCTGTTAACCCTTGGTTCCCACCCGCCGTGGGAAAGCAGCAGCCTGGGCTGGGACGCGCACTTCTCGCAAAGCCTCTCTGCTCTGGAGCTTCCCACTGGAGCTCTGTGGGAACCCTGTGTATAAAGCATAGTCTAGGCCTTGAACCAATGTCTGGTGTCCTGAGTCTCCCTGGGAGTCCAGGAATCTGGTGTTTTAAAGATTTATTTATTATGTATGCAGTGTTCTGTCTGTATGTGTGCCTGCAGGCCCGAAGAGGGCACCAGATCTCATTACAGATAGTTGTGAGCCACCATGTGGTTGCTGGGAATTGAACTCAGGACCTCTGGAAGTGCTCTTAACCTCTGAGCCATCTCTCCAGCCCCCACCCCCCAGATGTTGTTGAAGCAGTGTCACTGCATGTTGGGAACCTATTCTCAGAGACAGAGGATGTGATGGGGCAGATCCTTTGGTCTACGCACACGTGTTTTCAGCGCGGACATTTGCAGAGGGAAGGATGCTATGAGGCATCAGCCAGCAGGTGGGAGGTTGTGGAACTGGGTTTTCATTCTGGCTTTGACCAACTGGCAATAGCTGACTCAAGGCCATTGCTTGCCGAAGAGCGTCCTGAGTCCTTCTCCTCGTAGATGTCTGGGCTACAGTTTCTGCTGGCTTAGGAAAGCAAGTCTCCCAGAGCTGGAGGTCAGGTGCACAAATGGGCCACCAAGGAAGTCAGGCAGGCGGTGGTGCCCAAACTGCTCCAACTGCTTCCCTCGTACCACAGTGGCCCACAAAGTTAGATGCCCACACCCTTCCCGGGGTACCAGGGCCCCAGGAGCTGTCTGCTGTTCTCTTCTCCCCTCCCTCTCACTCATGCCTGACCACACTCTTCCCCACCTCCTGACCCTATATTCTATAGTCTTTTCAGCTAAGACCAGCCTTATTTTATTCTGATGCAGGATCTCACTGTGTAGCCCTGATTGGCCTATAACTTGCTATGTAGAGAAGGCTGGCCTCAAATTCTCAGAGATCCACCTGCCTCAGCTTTCCAAAAGCTGGAATTAAAGGGATGCACCACCACATCCCCAGCCTTGCTTTTGAAGAAGTATAACAGTTCTTCGTGAGTGAGGTTCCTGAGGAGTGAAATCATAGACATAGAACTGTAGAACTGTGTCTATGGATCGGAGGCGGTCAGGGGCTGGGAGGGTGACTTTACTGTTGAGTGGTGTAGATCTCATTTGACTGTTGTGGTAAGGGTCTGGTGCTAATTACCACACATGAGCATATTTAATTTGGAAGCTATGCACTAACAAGCCATCCCATTGGTCAGATTAGGCCAGGCCATTTCCTTTCTCCCAGCCTGGGCCTTTTTGCCAGGGAAGCCCCAGAACTTGCGGATGGATGTGACATTCAAAAGATAAAAGTACCAAGTTTCAAGTCCAACATCGTATGAGGAAAACAGGCAGCAAGAAAAGAAGCCAGGAGAACATGTGTGTTTTTACCCAGTTTGAATAGCCGTGTACAAAGAGAAACCTCCGGCTCCAAGTAGCAAATTAGGTTGCTTAGGGCCCTGGGCAGCTTCTGTAATCTCTGTCTCTCTTGGTAAAATGAGACTCACATGTGAGGAGGCTGGGACAGCATCTGGCTCTTATAGGCATATCCTAGTTGGCAGGTGCTAGTCTCATCAGTGTCTGGAACTGTGTCATCTCACCCACCAGCATAAGAGAAAAGTGGTACCCAGAGAAGAGAGTTCTCAAAGACACAGTCAGCCATTATTGTGTGACCTCAAGATACCTTGGAAGCCCCACGCCCACCCAGAACTCTTCGTACCCCCTGTAGTTAAGGCTGGAAGAACAGGTTTTGTTGAGTAAACAGTTAAGACTCATGTGTAGGCTTGGAGCTGGTGAAGACCCAGCAGGTGTCCACCTCTTTCCTTATGCCCTCTTCACTGAAGAAGGCACCACCAAGCTGGGCGGTGGTGGCGCACGCCTTTAATCCCAGCACTCGGGAGGCAGAGGCAGGCGGATCTTTGTGCGTTCGAGGCCAGGCTGGACCGATAGCCTCTGAAACAATACAGAGAAACCCTGTCTCGTAAAAACCAAAAAAAAAAAAAAAAAAAAAAAAGAAGGCACCACCATGCCTACACACCCACACCCACATTCTAGAAGAGGGAGAGAGGAAAGTGAGCAGAACTAAGTCTATTCAAGGGCACAGCCCCAAAATTATACAGGGTGATTCTCATCAGTCATTGGTCAGAACTTAGTCACATGGCCCCTCCCAAGCACAAGAAAAGCTAGGAGATGCTTAGCTATGTGGCCATGCTGAAGACTTAGTGCAGGACAGAGAGATGTGAAGAGAATCAATTCTCACCCTTTGCCATCACGTAGTGAGCAGGTAAGAGGAGAAGAGAGTCTGCAAATTTGTAAGTGGTTTTGTCATGATGGGAGTGGCAAGAGATGATGCTGAAGAGGGATGCAGAGTCTTGGGTATCATTCATTCTAAGGGATCTGGAGTGTATCCTGTATGTGCTTTGAGAGTTGAAGGGCTTTGAATGAACCTGGTATAAGAGATACCCAGGGGATAGCACACAGATGAGTGGTGGGGGACGCTGAGCCTGAGGACAGAGGGACCACAGGATGCAAGGTCACCCTGCACTGGACCTGGGCTCTTGTAGTGGGAATGAGGAGTGTGTGTAGACTGAGGATTGAACAGGGAATGGTAAAGACCCTGTGATAGGACATGGAGACGACAGAGCTCCAGATGTGAGCTCTGGAACCTTCTTTGTGGAGAGAACAATAATCTCTGTCTGTCTCCTCTGTCTCTCTCTCCTTGTCCTCAGACTGTCCTACGGATTGTGGTGCTGGGGATCTGGGATTACATCAAGAACAAAATAGAGGTATGATCATTTTCTGTCCCCAGATCCTGGAAGCTGGGAATGTTGTCTCATCTGTCCCAAGAGCTCTGTCCAGCCTGCATTTGACCACAGGGGTACCACTTGGGTGGAGTGCGAGGGGGTGGAGGCTGGGAGGGGGCAAACCCAGGCATTTTCCAGCTGAAGGATTTTCTATAAAACTTCCCTTGAGATTCACAAAACATACATGGTTAAAGTTGAATCCATTTGAAAAGCCTTTGAGATGTCTTTGAAAAGAAATCTACTCTAAAAATTATCCAGTGGCGGAACATGGCTGGGAGCTATCTATGACCCCTGCTCTCAGCCTGGGCATCCACACTGCTTCAGGGAGATGGGGGCTGGGCCTGGGAAGAGGCCCCTGCAGTGCTGGAGTCCGGCTCCCGCCCGTGTTCCCGCCCGTGTTTTGAGCAATAGGCCAAGGCCAGGTTAGGCTTAGGTATCCAGTATTGGCTACATTTTGGTCTCTCTCCTGTCTGTACTTCAGTATCTTTGGGCTAAAACCCAGGAGCCCACACAGATGGCCTGGCCTCAGAGAGCCCCACACAAGGCCTGGCTAGGGCAAGCAGAGAGAAAGCCAGTGTCCAAGGCCTCGAACTCACAGAGATCCGCCTGCCTCTGCCTCCCAAGTGCTGGGATTAAAGGCGTGCACCACATCAGCTCCCATCTTGTCAGTGAAGGATTCTCCACAGTCTCTGCCCAGGGCCTAGGACATGGGATGAAGGCCTAAGGTTGTCCAAACTTAGAACTGGAGAGTGGCTGAGGTCATGAAAAGTATGAAGAATGCTTGGTCACATCCTGGAGAAAGAGTCCCTCAGAGAGAGTGAGAGCAGGGCAGCTGGAGATGGACTGACTGGGAGGCAGGTTACCTGGAGAACATGGCCTACAGCAATGGCCTTCCCGGCTGCTCTCCAGCCTGCCACACAACACTGACGTACACTCTTTTCTCAGGTGTTTGATGGGGCTGTGATCATCTTGTCCTTGGCCCCGATGGTGGCATCCACTGTAGCTAATGGACCCAGAAGCCCCTGGGATGCCATCAGCCTCATCATCATGTTCCGAATCTGGCGGGTGAAGAGAGTCATTGATGGTGAGTGGCGGGTGTGTGTGTGTGTGTGTGTGTGTGTGTGTGTGTGTGTGTGTGTGTGAGTGTGTGTGTGTGTGTGTGTCTGTGTGTCTGTGTGTCTGTGTGTGAGGAGGCAGAGGCTGTAGCTGTCACTTGAGAGGAGGACTCAGAGTGCTTTGTCGGTGTTGGGTAGAGAGTGTGACCCATTCCATGGAGAAAGCCAAGCCTGCCCTGCCTCTTCAGCATGTCATGTGTCACACTTATACATGAGGGCCCTGCTCCCCATTCCCAAGCAACTATTTATTTGGGGGGCTTTGTTTTTCATTTGTTTTTGTTTTGTTTTGTTTTTTGAGGTAGAGTCTCACTATGTAGCCTTGGTTGGCCTGGAACTTGCAACGCAGACCAGGCTGGTCTTGAACTCACAGAGATCCACTTGTCTCTGCCTCCCAAGTAAATGCTGGGATTAAAGGTGTGTACCACCACACCCAGCTCTGATACAACTATGTATCATGTTCTTGCAAGGCCAGCCTTCACCTAAGACTGGACCTCAACCCTGAAGAATAGTGTCAGACAACTGGGACGCGGTAAAGACAGTAATGATGCAGAGAGGACCTCTGGTGTCATCCTTCGAGAATGCAAGAAGACCCAAGTCCCTGGGCTCCCAAAGGTGGTCCTCAGATACAGAGCATTGCAGGGAGGCTTGCCTCTACAGAAGGGCCAGGCCACTCTGCTTCCTCTCAGAAGAGGAAGCGCAGGAGGTGCCCAGTGCTTCCCAAGGCCCCCATACCCTCTCCTCATCCTGAGAGGCACCCGAAGGACTATCAGAGCACAGTGTAGATCCACTATGATAACTGTTAAGTTCTTTTCCAGCCCTGAATTTTGGCTGCAGCGACAGTGAGTTCTCACAACAATGTCTACGTGGCAAGTATAAGGCAGGCAGGATGACTTCCTGGGTCTTCTGTCTGTGAGAGGACAGCCTCTCACCCTCTCTACCTATGAACAGGAAGACAATGGCTCTTTTCCAGGCTTGGCTGTGTCTGTCATTATATTATAGCATCTTCACTGAACTGGAATGTGGGGCATCTACCCAATCTGGGATGGCTTGAGGAGCTCATCCAACACATTCTCCTTATTTGACAGATGGGGAAACAAAGTCAAAGAAGAAGGGTCACATTGTGAATGGTGCTCAGAGCCCAGGACACACACACACACACACACACACACACACACACACACACACACACAGTGCGGTTTTTGGCTGTCTGAGCCATCCCTCCTGCTCAGTGTCTTATTCTTGGTTCTGTCTGTGAGAACATCTGTTCCCCTCGGGCATAAACAGTGCTCTAGCCCCTGCCAGCTGTGGGTCGCTGCCCACCCCTCACTAGTGGAGGCTGAAGGCCTCTTTTGAACTGTCCCCTCCTCTGCTCACACTTGGTAATTTCTGTTCTCACCCTGAGTGTGACAAACTGGTTTTAGCAACAGCCCAGGGAACAGCAGTTAGGGACAGCTTGGAGGTGGGAGGCTGTAGGTTCTCATTCCATCAGGGATGGGGTGTGGAGAGCCCTAGAATATAGTGATTAGAGACACATTTGACCTCTCACTGGGCCTTCTGAAAAACAGGAAAGGGCTGGGCTTTGAAAGGAGTGAGACCCCAGGGGGTAAAGTGCAGAGGTCAAGATCTGGAGTTGCTTCTGAGACTCCTGCGGATCCTTGAGCTGCTGAGCTCAGAAATTCCCCAAGGGCAGGGCTTGTGGGGCTTCTGTTAGCTAAGAAGTCATGGGGTCCCCTTACTCAGAGCCCTGGTTTTCTCCCCTTCATCTCACTGTGTATTGTAAGTAGATAATCTGTAACAGAGACCCAGAATATCACTGACTTACAGAGTGCACACGCTTACTGCTTACTTCTCTCTTACGGAAGTCTTCAGGAGGTGGCAGATGTCTCTCACCCCCTCTGGGTGGTGACTTGGCTCTTGCTCTCTACTCAGCATACTAAAAATACTTCCTATTTTGTTGCTGTGCTGCACATAACCTACTTCTCAGAGTCACTCCGTGGTCCAAGATGGCTGAACCAGTGCCAACCAACACTCCTCATAATAGCCAGGGAGGATAGACGGAGAAGGTGCAATGCAAAAGGAGATTCCCTCCTCCCTCCCCCACAACTAACTAGTGTCTGTCTGTCTGTCTGTCTGTCTGTCTACCTATTGCCTACCTCAGAACTAGCCTTTATTGTTGGGTTATCTCCAGAAACCAAAGAGGCTATGTTTCAGTTACACCCTATGCCTGCAGGATCTGAGAGCCTCAACTCTGCCAGAGCTGGTCTTATGGCCACTGTAACTATAGTGGAAGCTAGATTATCGTCATTCTTCTTAAAAGTTATACCAAAAGTCAGGGCTCCACTACTATGTAAAAGAAGAAATTGAGTTTGGGTTGTGGCCCCTCTGTACTTTCTGGATGCTCTGCCACACCCCGGCTCCACAGACTAGATCCGCACTTTGAAGCCACTGCTGGCTGAATGCTGGCCTTGCCTCTCCCCAGCACACACATGGCTCCCTCTGTCTTCCAGCCTATATCCTGCCGGTCAAGTTGGAGGTGGAGATGGTCACCCAGCAGTACGAGAAAACCAAGGCCATCCAAGAGGAGCAGCTGGAGAGACTGACGCAAATCTGTCAGGAGCAAGGGGTAACACTTTCAGATCTACCCATCTCTGTCCATGTCTTGCTGAGAACCCTGTAATGCTTAGGAGCTGCAGATGTCAACAGGCCTCACTTGGCTTCCAGCTGTGCCCCAGCCCCAGCCCAGGCTCGATTCTCCCGGCAGGTCTCGGTAGAAGTGTTCAGTGTTTCCTTTTACTCCTCAGTCGTAAACTCCCACAGCCGTCGAGTGTGGAAAGCTGTGGGATGTCACCACAAATTGACCCTAGGAAATATCCCCAGTGCACACGTCATCTTCAGATCATCCCCTGCACTTACGCTAGGCACTAGAAACACCATTCCATATGGAATATGGCCCAGTCCTCTCCTCACAGGAGCTTTAACTAACTGCATTTAGTGGTCAAAGCATATGTAGAAGCAGTCTGGTGCCATGCATGCCTCACAGGGGCCCTGTAGGCCATGACTGGAGGGAGGGATTATGGAGGAGCCGGCCTGAACAAAGCCACTTGGGAGGAGAGAAGGCAGTAGGCCCAGTTTACAGCATGAGAGTGGGGACCCAGCTGGGCTGCAGAGGCCACGCCCCTTGTGATCTAGGAAAGGCAGTGGGAGGGCAGGGTGAGCTTGGAGGGGCTCTGGGCTGATCAAGGCATCTGGGGAAAGAGAAAGTGGCTCTGTGGTAATGTTAATCTTCCCTCATCTTCATGGTTGCTTCTGGGGGCTGGGTAGGAGAGGACAGGTGTGGACAGAAACCTAGGGTAATAGCAACCCCCTGTGTGAGAGCAGGCCTGGGTGTAGGCTGGGAGTCTGGGAAACTGAGAGGGGACAGCTGGAAGCATCGCCCAGAAACCAGCTTGACGTGGATCAGAGAGCTCTTGGTCCCCTGTATACAGAAAAAATACTGCTGCTGTTGACAACTCGAGAGGGACGGCACAGGGCTGCATAGCCCCTCCTAAATTCGCAGATGCCCGACGGAGCACAGCCCTACCGTAAGCCACAGTCACAGATGTGCTTCGTGGCTAGGAGAAAGCCTAATGGCCAACTCACAGCACATCTTGTGTCCTGTGCCAAACATGTCACTCCCCCCACGTAGACTCTTCCCTTGGCGTCCTGGAGAGGGAACTCCTCAGAGTCACACAGGAAAGAGCAATAAATAAAGATCCTTGCTAGATAGTAACATCTGGAAAAGAGATGAACAGAAATGAACTGCTTTAATTTAAAAAGCACCTGAAACCTGTCATCTCAGTTAGGACTGCAGAGGACAGACGGCTGGAGTCCCCGTGGACCGAGAGGGAGGGTGGGGAGGTGGCCGGGTGGAGCAGGGCTCAGCTTCTGCAGAGAGAGTAGGAAGCAGGCCACTGTCTCCAACGCTAGGGCCTGCGTCCCACAGGCCAGAGACAACACCACATCGCAGTATGAGCCAAAGTTTGAGACGCCACACAGCGGATACCCCGAAGGAGATGTGTCAGCTGTGGATCTTAGCAGCGTGTGGGGTGATCAAGAATGGCCATTGGGGACAGACTTGGTTCTGAGCCAGTCCTGTTGCTTAGTGGCTTTGCGGCTTTGGGCACTGACAGAACCTTGGTTTTGTTAATCTGAAGAATGAAGGTAGCAATAAAATCCCCAAAGGGTGGTTATGAGATTTAAATACTGACTAATGGGGGCTCACTCAAACTGTCTGCTCACCCCCCCCACACATACAACTGCTTTAATAATGAATCTGAGCAGTAAATCATCCAGGTGCCCCCCTCTTAGAGCCAGGGACAGATCTGGGTGTCTACCTATAACGCTATTCTCTGCCATCCCACCTGGTTGCGGGCCATTCCTTACTCCATGTTCTCTATTGGGCTCAGTGAAAACATAGCTCAGAGCCTGTGGTGTGTGTCTGTACCAGCACTTAGAGGTAGAGGCAGGAGGATTGAGAGCTCAATTCAGCTTGGTCTAAGTAGTAAGTTCTCAGTCTGAGCTAAATAATGAGACCCTGTCTCAAAAAAACAAAAACAAAACAAACAAAAACAAAACACCACAAAAACAAAAGAAGATTGCTCATGCCAGGCATGGGGCAGCCTGATTTGCACTGGCTGAAGGGCGACACCCTTGCAGGCACTGGCCAGACTCCTCAGGAATCTACAGTGTTTCCAGAATCTCCGACCTGCTGTCCACATAGCCTGCCCAGACCATTCTAGTCTTTGCCATGACTCGTCTCTCACAGCTCCAAGCGGAATTCTTATATGCCTCACACGCAGAAACGGACGAGTAAACGTGAAATACACAGGTTTATTTGATTAGTTATTGCTAGACCGATAAATTGATTTTCCGAGATGAGGGGGATTTCCCTGTGTAGCCCAGACTGACCTTGAATTTAAGACCTTCCTATAGTCACTTCTCCACCCCTCAGGGCGGTCAGTCCCAGTTTCAATGAAGAGTTCACTTTGCTCTCCCCTTTGAATAAACTTACAGAAACATTTGCCCTGGTTTCATTCATGCACCTTAGCTCTTTTTTTTTTAAAGACTATTTTGGGTAGTTCTAGGTTTACAGATTTCTCACAGACCCTAAGCAGAGTCTGATATCTTATATCTGCATCATGATTTACAATGAATGAACCAACACTGATACCTCATTCAAATTACATGGGTTCCAGGGTCCACTTTCCATTTCAGCCCTCCTGTCTCCTTAGGCTCTGCCCTGTGACAGTCCCTCACTCTTTCCTAGTCTCCATGACTTGGATGATTTTGAGGGCACTGGCTGGGTGTTTTGTATGGGGTCTCCCTGTTGGGATTTGGTGCAGTTTTTCTCTTGGTAATATTGTTTGGAAGGAAGTCTGCAAAGGTGACATTCTCACCAAGGGTGACAGGACAAACTGTCAGCATGATATCAGCCTGACCACCTCAATGAAGTTGTGGGTGTAATGATTTCACTAGACCCAAGATAAATGATAAATGGTGTTTATTGGGGAACACTTATATAGAAAAATACAAAGAACCTAGGGAGCTTTTCTCTGCCCTTCCTACCAAATCGGTTGATCCACCAGAAAGCCACACCTCAAGCTCCTCCCACCTTCAGGCTTCCTGAAGCCACGCTCAAAGGGGTGTGGCCACCGATACAGGTTCACAAGCTAGACACCACTACAGGCTTCTTCATTGTAAAGATTCATTTGCTCATTGCCATGTGGCATCTCATTTCTTACCACAGGCCACACCCAGGGTACCCCCAGAACCCTTCACACCTTAGATGAAGGGTCTGTGATGGCATGGATCCAATCTAGGATTTGGCAGGTGAGGAAATGGAAGCCCATGGAAAGGGAGTGTCATACAGCAGTTTGAGGATGAGAGTGAAATGCCAGTCTCTGGGTTCTCTGTAACACACACACACACACACACACTCACACACACTCACACACTGATCACACGACACACACACACTGATCACACACACACACACACTGATCACATCACACACACACACACACACTGATCACGTCACACACACACACACAGATCACATATCACACACACACTGATCACATCACACACACACACTGATCACATCACACACACACTCACACTCACACCCACTGATCACATCACACACACACACACAGATCACACAAGAGCTCAAGTCTGGACAGGGACCCTCTGCTTCCCTCATTCCTGTGATCCCTGCTGACCACTTGACACCTTTTCATTCCTCAAAGTCCTGGGAGGAAATGGGGGCCCAGAGGACCCATGTAGGGAGGACACACAGTGGTCCATTCTTGTCTGAGTCCCGGCCAGCTCTTTGCAGTCCACTGCTGAGACTGTGAAACACACTGAGCCCACAGCCCTCAGCTTCAAGGGCCACTGCTTACTGATTTTTTTCTCTGATGGGACTACAGCTAGAGTTTTAATCCCTGGACACATAGGTCCCAGAGGAAGAAGCCGGTTGCTATCCTTCAGGGAGGCAGTGGGGATCTCCTCTTCTCTTGGTCCTGGCCATTTCAAATATCAAAAGCCATTAGATTAGTGGTTCAGTCCATGTGACTTTACATACTTCTGAGTAATCTTAAAAGCCACTTCTGAGGGGGGCGCATGCCTTTAGTCCCAGCACTCGGGAGGCTGTGAGTTTGAGGTCCGGCTGGACTGATAGCCTCCAAAACAATACAGAGAAACCCTGTCTCGTAAAAACCAAAACCAAAACAAAACAAAACAAAAAAGCCACTTCTGAGATGTCATGCTTGCTGGTGGCCAGGCTCTCGCTGTGATTCTGAAACATGCCGCACAGCCTCGTGTCTGCTGTTTGACATCAGGTCTTGCTACAGCACTTGGCCCACACTGGTACAGTTCGACCTGGCACACTTGGGGGGTGTTTGTCCTCTGTGGGGTTCCATGGGAATGAGAAGGAAGTGGAACTCTCCTTAACCAGCCAAATTCACCTTGAGATTTGGGGGAAATGCTGAGGGTCTGAGGATCACTGTGGGGTGACTTGGGGCCAAGCCTCTAAGGGGCCCTGTGGTACCAGTGTACCCCTTAGTGCAGCCCAGACCCCCGGCAAGAAGCATCAGTTTCCCAAAGAGGCACCCAATGGACAGGAATCTTGAGGGTGCCAAAAGTTTGTTTATAGGAGCTACCAGCAAACTGGTTCCTACCTTTGCTTTATTAGCAACTAGCTGCTCCCCCTCTCCAGCCCCTGAGCATAAGCTTCTTCATTAGAAAGATGGAGACAACAGAGTTATTTCATGGGTGCTGTGAGGGGACAGTTTAACTGAATGACACATAAGGAGGCTCTTGATGTATGAGACAGGACAAATACTCCTGAATGGACCTCCATAACGTTCATTATTTACAAATGCTCTGTCACAGAGAACTCATTGCCAGAGCACAGGTTGCAGTGGACAGAGAACAAGGAATGATCTGTTCCACTGTTATTCTGGCCCCCAGGCTCCTTCCTCTGTGTGGCTCCTCTGGGTGTTGCCCACCCAGCAGTGCAGAAGAAAGGAGAATGGAGAACTGGCCCCAGGTCATTATTTGCCAGGCCTGGAAGTGGTGGCATTG